TCATTGCCAATCAACTCATGTATCCACATTTTTTTGCATCATGCTCACCTTGATATATCATTCAATGATGCAAGGAAAGAGAGGCAAGAAAATGATGAAGGCTATGTGACCAATTATTGAGTCATCAAATACATTACCATGAAATTATCATTTATGACTAAGATGTAAGCATTATCTTCCATGCTGGTGAAAGAAATTATCTGATACATCACTAGACAAGTCTGGAGAGTCATTGATAAGGCTTTCCTCCATCTTTGTTTCATCATCATTAGCAAAAGAATTTGTTAAATACATCATCTGTTCATTTACTTAAATCAGATTTTTTCAACTATCCACAGCAGTCTAAAAAGAAGAAGTGTACATAATCCAGCAGTAGCACATGTATGCAAGATCTCTTGATGCTGTGAACCATCATAGGGTTCTTCATAAAGTGAGATATAATGTTGCTTAACCTGATGACATTTATATTTGAATAATATGCATTGTAATAAAGCTTGTCACCCATGCCAGGAAAATTGCAATATAGATTACTGAGATGATCTAGCTCAGTGAGCTCTTGCAGGTCCTCAATACTTATGAATGATTCTTCTACAAGCTTTTCATGTACATCTCAATGTTGATGCAAAAAGGTATTGACAACCTTTCTGCTTGCATATGTGTAGTATGAGGTGCAGAAAAGATGATGTTGCTATTCTTCGATGTCACATGATGAGGACAATATGTGATACACAGTCAAATACAAACCTTAATTTATAACAAACACCTGCAAGTCACATGTCAAAAAAAAGCTTATAAAGGTATGTCAGAAGCTGCTGCCGATGATAGAGTATCCTGAATACAAGTATTGCCATGACCAAAAACCAAAGCATACAAAATATGAAACACATCCCAAGCACAAAGATATAATATATTGTGAATATATGTCATTTTAACATATGAGACATTATTTATTTGAAAAAGTGTAATAATATTTATTTAACAATTACTGATAAAATATAACACCAATTAAGATTTAAAATATTATGCCAAGACCAATTGTGATTGGCCTGATCATCTGTTTCTAGGAGGAACCAATTTGAACACATGCAGCAGCATCTGAAAAACATTTTGAGTTCACACTGGGTGAAGCAATCAATAATTTGAGGTAAAAGATGGTAAAAATATTGAAGAAAAAGTTCAAACCTTTTAAGCATCTTCACTGTCAATTTGTGATAAAAGTTTTAAAATATTTTTAACATCTTTTATTGTGAAAGATGATGAAAAGATTGAAAGGAGATCAAATGAAATATTAATATATATTTGTTCAATCATATTACAATCTTTCATATAAAATCATAATGAAAAGTTTTAAAATCTTTTTTCACTCTTTTTTGATCAAAGATGATGAAAATATTGTGACTATATCACACTCTTGTTTTCATCTGCTAAGCTAGCACTAAGATATGGAGGTTAATACTCAGGTTTATATGTTAGCTAGTACTATGGTCAGAAGAGGGATACTAAGATTTTAATGTTAGCAGGATGCTAATACTAAGATCTAAATGCTAGTGCTACGCTAGTACTAAGCTAGTACTTTGGCATGCTCAAGCAGACAAAAGTATATTGTGCTCGAGATAACGAGAATGACAGTTTATGCTCACCTACTTAGGTGTTAAAATCAGATAGTGCATTTATATATGTGCCTCAAAAAGGATTGTTCATCTATGGTCATTAATTATGCTTATGCTTTGATTGACATGATGCATCTCAGCATGTTCTGATCTGTCACATAAGTCACGCTGGCCCTTAAATGACTGCCACTCTCATTGCATCACTATCTCCATTCTGTCAGCCATGTATCCTGCTTCATCGAATGAATCAGTATTGCTGCTGATCGCTAACATTACCACAGCGTACACCTTGTTAGGAACACAGGTAGAGAGCACCCTTCACACACAAATGAGTGATACTGCTCATGAAATGATGCAGGTGTCCTCAATGTGCACCTTTCACAGCCGCTGTCATTCTGCTGTCTGATCCATCATGTCAAACACCTGAGAACTTGTATGGTGGGGTCTGAGAGGAGATGAAGGAATGTATTTTTGGTGGTGCAGCCTGAGCATAAGTGCACATTATAAACACAAGTTCTAACTGTAATGCACGAGCTGCTTACATCAGACACCAAAGTGTATGCCACTCAACATGAAAGCACAAATGAATCATTCTTAAACTCTCATAATATTGTCTGCTGGTGCCTCTCATATGGTAATAAGGCCTGCAAATAGTACTAAGGTTTGAAGGTTAGTACTAAGATCTGAATGCTAGTACTATGCTAGTACCAAGCTTGTACTAAGATCTGAATGCTAGTACTATGCTAGTACTAAGATTTAAAGGTTAGTACTAAGGTCTAAACATTAGTACTATGCTGGTACTAAGGTCTAAATGCTAGTACTATGATAGTATCAAGCTAGTACTACACTCTGAAGGTTAGTACTATGCTAGTACTATGCTAGTACTAAGCTAGTGCTAAGATGTAGACATCGATACTATGCTAGTGCTAAGGCTTCAATAGATAGCACTAACATTTGGAGCTAAGTATTAACCTTTATATTTGAATATTGGCTTAGTGTAGAATGATAATGATGTGACATGGTCACAATGTGTTCATTATCTTTGATAAGAAAAGAATGAAAAAAGACTTTGAAACTTTTTATCATAACTTTGTCTAAAAGATTGCAAAATGGTTGAAAAAATGATTGCTAATATGTTATTCAATCTTTTTCCAATCTTTCTATCATCTTTAACAAGAAAAGATGTTAATAATATTCTGAATCCTTTTATCACAAATTGACAGTAAAGATGCTGAAAAGCTTTAAACTTTTTTTTACAATCTCTTTACCATCTTTCACCTCAAATTATTGATTGTTTCACCCAGTGTTATCTGGAGATCATGCCAGCAGCATTTTAGAAGGCATTATCAATGGTTTTCTGATGCCTTTGAAAAATCAACAATTTTATTTCTGATTGTATGCAAGCTGCATATGCTGTTCTTACCATAGGCATCATGCTGAATACATATAGACTGCATCAACAATAGAGCAGTGATGATTTTCATTTGATTCAGCCATTTCTATTAATGAAAACATTCAAAATGTTACCAGAATCACATTCACATTAATATGAGTGACAGCATTAAGTATAAATTCAAATGCAAATTATAATATCTGCTGAACATTCCACCAATGAAAAGGCTGACTTAATTCAATATGTAACTAGTCACTCTCTTGCTGGATCATGCAGGAGATATTGAGATGGCATTTCAACAATATGTTTTAAGCTATTGTCATCATCAATTCAAGAAAAACATAAGTCACATCATTGTGACTGTAAATGCAGTGTGTTCACAATGTTTCTGGTGAAATCACAGGTCCATGCCCCCAGCAAATTTGTGTTTCAGTATACAGTGACTATCACATATGCTGTTGAACCCTCCATAGTATCCATCATTCCCTGAGACAATCAATCACTTCTCAGTCTCTCATTACATCAGAGAGAAGCTCAGCCTGCCAGCTTGTCCACCATGGTAATGTGAGGTGATGTAACTCTCACTCTCACCCTGGCTGACAGGAAGAGTGGTTGATTGGAAGAGCAGTGACTGGCAGCTGGCAGGAGCCTTCAGCCAATTAAATGACAGTCTTTACTCATTGACAATATGGTGGCACATTGCTACATCGCCTGTAGAGCAGGTTTGAGCTCATCACTTTTATTTTTCATTTAATGTGGTCTTTAATGCAATCACTTCAGTTTGACAAGCATCAACTTTTAATAAAGCTACAGAATCTCTTTATGTGGAGCACTCAGGCTGGTTCCATCACTGAACATGCTGCTCATCACATTCAATCACTTTTGATGAGAGTCAGCAAGTGCAGCTTGAAGCCTCTTTAGGCTGAGTTAATGGACACCTTACTAAATGAGATCATGTTTGAACATGACAAAATATACAATGCAGCTTACATCCTGCAGTGCCTCTTATCTAGATGGTGGAGTGGCTGTGCAGCAAACACATGGGTGCCTTCTAAGATGTGAAATTTGAAAGAGACAGTGAAGTAGAAGAGACCATCAAGCAGGTTCCCATCCAGGCAAGTTATTGAGCTCATAAATGAGCCAATGCTCAACTTGTGGGTGTCAGTGCTGCGTGCGCACACCCGGGTCTGAATGACCAGTGATGACGTGGGAAGAGAAGTTATTGAATCATGCAGATCGTGGACAATTGTTGGAAGATGAGCACAAGAATTATATATGGTAATATACAACGTGGGTCGAGTGTATTTTACATTGTGATTGACAGTCTGCATGCGATTTAGAATGTTATAGCAGAATAAATGATTAATGTACAGTATGGACATTCAGGCGTGAAATGACTGAGTAAAATGTGCGTAAACTGCGCAGTTGGATCTCAGTGAGTGAGAAGATGATGCATGGCACGTGCAGGTCATGCAAGACATCAACACGGTGTCTAATGAGAGACATTAGTGATGAAAATTAGGCTAAATGGGAGGGGGGGCAGATGAATGCACCTGACATAGTGGATATTAGCAGCACAGTTAAAAAGATAAGGTCCTTCGAGGGTCAAAAGCTCTGAACGGTGGGATACAGACTCCTAGTAGGGTTGTACGCAAGAGGTGGAAAGAGGCATTAGTAGAGGAGAGGACGAACCATGAATGTTGTCTTCGAATCGTTCGTAAGAAAATGTGGAAGAGATGGGGGAATGTGAAGCATTAAAAGCAGCATGGAGACCACTGCAGTAGGAGAGAGTGAGGAGTATGAGTTGTGCTGTGTGATCAGTGTAGCGAGATTGTATGAGCAGAAGGCACTGAATTGCGCTCATGGGTTGGAGCAGATCATTGAGATGAATTGGACAGATTGATGTTACAGGGGTAAATTACATTCACGACATTTGTAATGTACAGATCGACGTCAACTGTTTTCGTTTATGTTCAAAAAAAAAGAGGGGGAAATAGTTAGATGAGTACGTCATCGGCCATGCTGATGTTCTCTTTGATGGAAGGTTCGGGACCATTGAAGAGCTTTGAAATGGTGAGCAGCTCGAGCTGGGTGCACCACAGTTTCCATCCTCCGTCATAAATGGCATCGCCGTTGGCGTTGCACTTGAAACTCATGATGGTGCATTCGATGAGCATGAGGTCATTCTCGATGATGCAGACAGCGGGATGGTGTTTCATTTCTGTGCGAGCGTCAAAAGTTACAGTGCCATCAAAGCAGTTCATGAATTCGTGAGTCTGTCAGCAGAATGAGCAGATAAATGAGCGGACGTAAATGTGGTACGTATGCAAGGCTTTTGATCACCGCGAGACCTATGACCCTGGTAATGGCTTGCCCATACACTGTCTTGGTCATTGTTGTCACCTTTCACTGAGGGGGAGACATTGAAGGAAACAGTGTAGGAGAGATGAAGGACTTACTGACAGACGCGAGGTTGTGCACGTAGTTGATGATCTTGAGGCAGTCCCCCTCGTGAATGGGGATGACGTGCATGCTGGCACGCATCATTGGCTCACCCCTGCATAGTGGAAGAGAGCGCATTTCACTTCACCAGTTATCCAGATAATGAGAGGGGAGTCACCGGCAACGCAGAGGGTTTGATTGTTTTTGCAAGCCTGCTCCTTGCAGACCCAGTTAGTAGGCATTGACAGTAGAGCCACAATAGAATAGCAATGAGTGGATGTGTCTGCATGGGAAAGGAAGTAGGGGATGCAGCTGCAAGGGGCGTGTTAGATCATAAGGAATGTGAAGATCGAAGGTGGGTTCACTCCTCAAGCGTGGAAGTCCATCATGCATCGCGAATGGCTCTTCCATGATCCCAGCTTTAGCGTCTTTGCTGAGTGAGGTTGTTCACTCACAGCTGCAGCAGGTCGCAAGGAGTTTCGAGCTGCGCTGGCAGATGCCGATGCAGCAGGAACGTGCATTGATGTAATGGGGACTTTCTCCACGACTGCATTAGTTGACGCCGGTGTGGTAGGGTGGATGTTGGAACTGATAGTGTGTTCATACAGATCACCATTGCCATCGTTCGATGTGAGAGGGCTGTCAGTGATGTTCTCATCTGCAAAAGATTTGAGCATCGGTCTGAGAATGATCGCGGCGTAAGTAAAGCTTGTTCAGAAGTATGAAACCATACTTTTTCACAGGAGACTGCTGATCTCTAATGTTGCCGTCATCGGTGGGAGCTCACTTTCCAGTAGATCGAGTGGTTTTTGTGATGGGCATAGTGAGCAGTAGTTAGTAAATTTGCAACAGCAGCAGCAGGGACCTCACGATCAAAGTGCTCGTATTTGAGAAGTTAGTCACATGTACGACACGTGTGGTCAATGGGCATGTCGAGGCAGATTTGTCTGGAGAGCGATGGAGTTTGCATGTTCAGCATAATGGATTGTGGTGAACAACACGTCAAGGCAGATCTGTTTTGGGCGTAATGGATTTGCGGTGTGCACGGTTGACAGACAATGTGTACTAACAAGGATAAGCATGGAGACAGATGCTAACGACATGTCGAGGCAGATCTGTTTATAGAGCCATAGAGTGTGTGTTGCGTGAAGCTGTAGGAAGTGAGATTAGTAATGGTCGAGCCACATAGCATCGAGGTGGATCAGGGAGCAATGGAGTGTGCCTTGCGCGACACTGTAGAAAGTGAGATTAGTAATGCGGTGAGTCCGAATATGTGTGGAGAGTGATGCTGACGACATGCCAAGGCAGATCTGTGTAGGGAGTGATGGAGTGTGGCAGTTGGGCATAATGAACTTAGGGTGGTATGGTTGATCGACAATGTGTACTAATAGGGATGGACATGGAGAGTGATGCTAACGACATGTCAAGGAAGATCTACAGAGTGATGGAGTGTGCATTCCACGGGGCTCTAGGAATGGCCGAGAAGATGTAAACAGGTGGCAATGCGGTTGGAGAGGTGGTGATGGACAATTGCAGTCGCTCTCATGAGAGGAGTTCATGGAGCGGATCATTGTGTAGTACAGTGACCCACAAAACTGTTGATAAGATTGCTCACTTCAACATGTATAGTGAATATCTCCTCATCCAATGGGTCAACTACATTGTATAAGAACTCATTGGAAAGCGTATTGTCATGGCTTTCTAACGCAATTTTAATCATATTTTTACCATATTTTGATCTTAAGATATTTACTAATCTTTGAGGGTCACTCTTATCAACAGTTTTGTGGCACACACACAAGTTCTCAGAAAATTGTGATTCTTGATGTGTTGACAGGGTTCTTTGTGGGAATATTGATTGATGTTCATGTTTCAACATGAACAATGTACAAACAGCCATACACAACTCTTCACACTCAACTAACATCATACCAAAAGCTGTTGCTACTGAAACTGTCAACCATGTCATCGCTTTGCTTCAGAATGGCAAATCTCTTCGAGAAATTGAAGCTTTGACTGGTCTACACTATTCTACCATCAATCAACTATGCTCCACACACTGTCCCACCATTTCTAAGGCCAAAGGAGGACAACCTTCCCTTCTTTCTACTGCCAATCTTCGCTATGCTACTCGACTTATTGGGACTGACAAGGCTACCACATCTCCTGCTGTGGCCAGAGCTCTTGGAGATGTTACTGGGAGGGTTGTCAATGCAGAGACAGTGCGAAGAGGGTTGAAGAAGGCAGGAATGAAGGCTGTAGTAAAGCGCAAAAGGCCTTTACTCGCTGCAAGGCATCGAAAGGAGAGGATGGACTTCACTTTGGCTCACCAATATTGGACTGTGGAGGACTGGAGAAGGGTGGTATGGTCAGATGAGACAAAGATTAACAGGATGGGATCAGATGGAAGAAAATGGGTGTGGAAGAAGCCAGGGGAGAGCCTCAGTGATAGGTTGGTGGAAGGGACCCAGAAGTTTGGAGGTGGATCCTTAATGATGTGGGGCTGTATGGGCTGGGATGGTGTGAGGTATGCCTGCAAGATTGATGGCAGGATGGATGCAGACCTTTATGCCAGCATTCTGGAGGATGAGCTGCAGAATAGCCTGGAGAATTGGGGCAAAACTGTGGAGGATGTGGTGTTTCAGCAAGACAATGACCCCAAACACACCAGCAAGAAGGCCAAGGATTGGTTCAAAGACCATGATTTCAACACTATGATATGGCCCTCTCAATCCCCAGATCTCAATCCCATAGAGAATTTGTGGGGTCATCTCAAAAGGAAGCTTGCAGAGTATCAGGAGCCACCAAAGGGAATTACTGAGTTGTGGGAAAGGGTGGAGAAGGAATGGAAGGCTATTGGGAAGGAAGTGTGTCAGAATCTTATTGAAAGTATGTCAAGGAGGGTGCATGCAGTGGTGAAGGCAAAGGGAGGCTATACCAAGTACTGAAAGTACAAGTTTTGTAGAACCTGGATATGTGCCACAAAACTGTTGATAAGAGTGACCCTCAAAGATTAGTAAATATCTTGGGATCAAGATATGGTAAAAATATGATTAAGAATGCACTAAAAAGCCATGATAATACGCTTTCCAATCAGTTTTTATACAATATAGTTGACCCATTGGTTGATGAGATATTCACTATACAAGTCAAAGTGAGCAATCTTATCAACAGTTTTGTGGGTCACTGTAGTAGGGATAGTCGTGGAGAGTGCTGTGCATGAGTCATTGAGGTGGATCATGTAGGGAGCGATGGACTGTGCCTTGCGCGGCACTGTAGAAAATGAGAGTAATAATGCAGTAGTTCTGTATACGCATGGAGAGAGATGTCAATGACACACCGAGGCTGATCTGGCTAGGAGCAATGGAGTGTGCCTGTTAGGCATAATGGATTTGCGGAGGCACAGTTGATGGGCGATGTGTACTAATAGGGGTAGGCATGGACAGTGAGGCTAACAACAGCTCTGATCTGTCTAGGGAGCGATGAAGTGTGTGTTGCGCATGGCTGTAGAAAGTGAGGTTAGTAATGTGGTGAAATTGATAAGCAGGCAGATTAGATACACGATGAAGTGGACTGAGTGGTGCGACCATCATAAATGTTGATCTGCATGCGAAGAGGATATGGTTGTCTGTGACGGCGCAGACTGTATGATATGAGAACGTAAGAGTATCGACAAAAAATAAGATGACAACGGGCTTGCAAATGGCATTTCGGAATACCCTAGTGATCCTGCCAAGTAGACGATAGTGTGGAGTGCATAACATGGACAGACGTAAGACTTATGCTAAGCCAATGAAGGAAGTATTGAGGGGGATGGTCAGAAGGACAATGAAGAGAGTTATGGTTAGACGTAGAAGGGGAAATGGTGGAGAAGGTCCATTCACATCACCTGAAATAGACAGGGAGGAGATGATCATGGGTCAAAAGTCAACAATGACCGGTGGGTGTGACAGTATAGCAGAAATAAGATGGCATAGCAGTGAAGGGTTTAATGTTGATATCTGAAGTGTTCATGGACAGATTCTATGCATGGGTAAATGAGCGACATGACCGTGCATTATGGCGAAAGCAGAGTGAAGATGTAGAGATCGGATGGAATGTTCACGTTGACGGTACGTAATGATACAAACTCAGACAACTCATTATGCTACAAATACAGTTTGATGATTGGTTACATTAATAATACCACATGTATTCGTCCAAATCCCACTGCATGTCGCTGAGTTGAACAAATTCATTTCCAAGATCTCCTACGCAATCTGAACAACAAGGCCACCCTTCTATGCACCATACGCATTCGCCACATGTGGCACCGATTGTGGATGGGAGGGCATCAGAGTTAGTGAAGTGGAGCCGAAGTGAACCACCGTCATCAAATGTACATGGCTGGTTGATGCATGACCATCGGTGACATGGTGCGTCGGTCTCCCAGTTTTGAACGTGAGTGTCGAAATCGTAACCACACATGAAGAGAATGTTTGCCGACAGCCATTCGTCATCATCTATATATCGAGCACCATATAGTTCACGGGATAGACGTGTCTGATGCCATTTTGCACTGCAGGCGATGTCAGCACTGATGAAGTTTCTCAACAGTCCAGTCCAAGTACGGGTGAGAGGATAGAGGGCGGTCAGCTCTGAACTTCGCATTAACTCAATAGTATCGCATTTGGTAAGCAAACGAGCCCATTGAGCGATTCTGTTAGTGCACTGAGGAGGGTCTAGTATGCTGAAGTCTTCAGATGTATGCTGTAGAATGGCACTTTGCATATCAAAGAGGTGCATTAGTGCAGTTTGCCAGTGTGAATAAGGGACACTGATATGAAGTGTGTCAGGTCACCAACTTGCTTGTCTGTCGAAGAACCTGAGCGCACACAGCCTGCATAAGACGCTGTTCGTGGCACAGAGGAAATGACAGAAGGCATCGAAATCATGGATGCCGATGAGAGCAATGGATCAGAATGAAGCCAGGAGTACGGCGGGGACTATACAGTGCATATCTTTGTTCAGCAAATGGCACACCAGCAAGGTGTCCATGTCAAGGTGGTCGCAGATCTTGAACAGGACGTCCCGCCCTCTTCGAAGGTGTCAGTTAGTCATCGATATGTTGATTGAAAGGCAGTATCGTACTTACAGAGTGACAGCGACAGTTCCACCAGACATGGGTGTAACAGCATGGATCGCAATGAGAGAGCATGCAGGAGGGAAGAGGGGCATGACCCTATATATGTGTGGATAGGTGAAACACGACTCCTGTGATTGGTAATGGCACAGAGGTGATGGAAGGCCACTGTCATAGATGAGTCAGAGTCCAGAATTGTATATAAATGGCTGAATGAAGACAGTTAGCATTGCAGATACTCATCCGATGATGGTGCGAACCGTATTCAACAATGCGGAGTTGGTCACGAGTACATTTTTATGATCACTTGCTCGTGAATTATTGGAAAAGAGACACAAAGCAGTCAGGTAACTTTCATGAAATTGTGTTGCATGTCAGTATGTTGATCAATGAGTAGCAGGGTGCAAATGTTACTCACAATTGCAGATGAAAGATCATCGTTTTACTCTGTCAAACGCCATCCAACAGAGGAGATAGAGTGGGTCAACATCAATCATGCAAGGCCAGCCTCACGGATGCTGTTCCACAATGCAAGTCCGATGACTGTGTCAATGGTTGGAGTAGTTGTCGCAATTGACATCGACGATGAAGGAGGAATCACAGAGTTATCAATCGTGCCTATGCGAGAAAGCGAGTGTCGTTCGATGTGGAGCTGATGGAGTTGAATGAGCGAGACATGGAGATTTTCAAGGTGACTACGAACGATGCTGTAACAGAGGTGATGGATCTGCGAGAGAACACCACCATCATAAGACCACTAGGTACTGACAGATATCTCGTTCCTCGAGGATCATTGGTGTTGATGTGTTATGCAGTTGTGCATGAGCAGAATGGACACAGAGAAGACAGGGTGCATTTGTGTCTGGTGGACGTTTATATACTGTACAAAGCGATCTCATGCCACGTGTAGATTATACAGTAAATGTGTAGGTTGGGATGCAGTGAGTACGACGATTTACACTCACACATGTAGAATATGATGAGTGGTGCCTGGTTTGTGGTACAAAGCTCATCCTTGCGAACTGTAGTGTAGAACATAATGAAAGGAATGCGGAAAAGTGAGTATTTGTGAGCAAATATAAAGTACAGCGGGAATGATGTCGACGGGAGCTAAAGATTACAACAACATGGTACGATATGATGTCGAACAGCATGGGAAGCAAAAGTGATCAAGCATATATGTCGATGACGGCCGTGTATTATAAGCCACGGAGGATATATGTGGAAGCATATCGTAAAGAACAATAAGATATTAGGGCATGACGTTGGACAGGAAAAGAAGCAAAAGTTACTACGCATCCTGTACCATCTTACAAGAGGTTTTGATGGAATGGTAAGTGGTCAGGAAGGTTTGTTGATCATCGCTTTTCGTGGGCACCACACACGATGACAACTTTACACCTAGAGCCTGATGACCATTAAGTGGGATGTTGATGAGCAAATAAAGAGTAGACGTACCTTGATCTCTCCTGCAGATTGCAAGTGAACAATTTCATTCATGGTAAAGTGAACATGTGTACGAGCATGATCTCCAGTGCCTGAGAGTGCGATGTCGGTGAAGACGCTGACATCTATGAAATCACCAGGCCTAAGGAGCGAAGGTTTGCAGAGAGAAATGGATGAGTCTGGCTTTCAAATAGATGTGCATATGCGGTGGGTAATCACCCACTGATGAGCGCATTTGCATGCATCCGCAGCACGAGAATTGCTCGAGTCGATGAACGAGCATACTGGCTGCTGTCCCGGCTGGACCTGGTGAAAAGTTCAGTGTAGTCAAGTGCTATCAGACTACGTGTGAGATACCTTAGTGAATACAGAACGACAGAGAAATAAGGTTGACAATGTTAGAGTTTGCGATTGGTAAGACACGTGAGGCCAAACAGAGATATGTATCAGTTCATGGACAGTTTCGAGGCACTGTTTTTGCACGTTGAAAGGGGCTTCCTGTCCTTTGGACTCGAGCTCGATAAATTGAATGGCCTTAGGGGCATTGTGGACTTGACTGTGAGGTAAAATGGAATTAAGGAATGTATGGTTAACAGAGGAAGTGGACTCATCCGTTCCAATTTCCTGTACTTTCGAGGCATACATCTTAATGAAACCCTGCAACCATATGAGAACTTGCTTTCTACTAGTGCCTGGGTCAGGTGGCAAGACGGTGGATGAATATAATAGATGATAGATCCTAAGCCCATGTCGGTTCTGACTGTCGGCATGGTCAACGTCAGCCCATTCCACCAAGAAGTCAACATCGGTAGGTATAACCTGCCATGAAGGTAGTGTTACGATGTTTCCGTCCTCTTTCAGCATGCATCCAATCTTTTGAGGTCATTAATCATGAACGAGACCCTCTTGAGCTAAGCACATCAAATGGTAAGATTGGGAGACAAACTGAACAGAGAACATGCACCGGTCATGAAGGACATTGTTAACAAAGGGCAGAGGAAATAGACAGCAGAGGGCGGGAGGTGAGGATGTTATACCCACGTGAAAACAATCTCCTATGACAGTCAAGACCAGACCTAGTTCAATAACAAAGTGGAGTATATGTGGCGCACTACGCATAAAATATCAGGTGTGCATTTCAACCATATGCATGACGTAAGTCGGAATCTGTCTCCTGAATACAGGATCTGCCAGTTACGATGCCGTCATGATACCATATGACACCCGCTCATGATATGTATCGAGCTGTGAAATGGTTGCCACCTGCATACATGACACCAATGAGCATTTTATTCATCTGATGCTCTCCCACGCTGATCATTAATGAATGGTCTATGTCAATGATGGGTGTTCTGTCTGAAGCGTGAGGAAGCTCTAAGATCAATAAAGGAGAATCATGCACCAATTGTGTCATCTGTGGCAAATGGACGTTACAAGTGCGACATGCAGTCTCAGGACATGAGGATAGGATGGTTGCAAGTATTTTGTCTGTAGAGGTGTGCAACGGAGTATGAGAAAGGTGGTCCCATGTAGTAGGGTACACGTTGACAATGTTACCTATGAATTCACCGCCCATGTTAGCACCAGATAGAGAACAACCAGAGCAATAGGTGGTTGTGGAGAACACGGAGTGGATTCCATCCAGTATAGCTTCCAATACTTGAAACAGCAATGGTCAGATGAGAACCGTAGTGAGGGAAGCGTGCAGCATTCATTCCATACAACACATTTCTCATTGTGTCATGCACCGTTTCCAGAAGACGGAGGTCCATGGTGGCAGCAGAAAAACTATTAAGTAAATCAGCAAGGACAGAGGGACAGTTCATTTGCTGTTGTACAGAAGTTAATGACCCTTCACGATACAAGTTCCACAGGATGCAAAGAATTGCATCATAGGCACAGCTGTAATTGTGACTGTCCCAGATTAGATCAGAAGGGACGTAGTAAGTCATGTCATGAGAGGAATTGTTGTCGCCATGCAGACACACATGTTTGGATGAAGATTCGTCTGTGGCTGATGTCCAGCAACCTTCGATGCGATGAGAGCACTTCTGCAGAGGAGCAGTGGACAAATGAACAGCAGTTGGTGATTGCACTGATGATGTATCTTCTGTGGAGGTGGTATGGACAGCATCGTGTTTGTGTTGTCTAGATGCTGGTGGCTGGCATCTACCTATAATTCTCCACTGTCCATCTTCAGTTGTAACATGCATGGAAGTGTCTGGCTCACTCGACCAGTCAAGTGCTCGAGGTATACATTTAGGAACAAGGGACACACCCTTCCAACGTTGAAATGAACTGATCAAAGATGATCATGCTACACCACATACATTATCGTGTAAGTCATTTTCATACTGAAGCCATGTAATCTCATCGAGCAATTCCAGGTGGCAAAATTCCCAGCACAAAGCACCTGATAGCCCTCCACAGACCTTGTTTGCATCAAATCTACCAATAATTACAGTTTTGTGCAGAGAAGAACTGCAGGACAAGCAAGTGTATATAGACTGATGATTTCGGCAGTGCATTAGATGACAAACGTTGAATGGTCTAGTGCGACCTTGCGAACAGAAATCTGTCATAGCAAAGTAAGGCAGCACGTAAATCTGCTCCCGCTCTATAAGCACGGATGAATCCGTTGGTAACAGACAATGAATTCGATCCTTGTTGCATGTCAACGGAATCACATTCTCAGGTAAGCCATCAAGCTGAAAAGGCTTTGGAGGAGACGTGAGTTTAACAAATAAAGTATCCAGGACATCCTGCCCTAAGGGAGTATGGAAGCTACTCCATGCATATACTGTACCCTCCACACCATTGGTTACACAAATCTCAGTGGCTTCATTATACTTCAGTAGGACAGGCATCTCCTTGCATAAAGACAATATACCTGCACAATGTTCAGTCAATGACGGAGGTAGCCTCCACAGAATGTTTTGCAAAAGTGATGAAATATGGTCAGAGTTTCGCATCGGATCAGTTACAGAACAATCTGTTCGATAATCGGTACGTGATGAAGATGTACGAGATGGAGAGGCCCAACAATCAATGAAATAAAAGTGAGTTAGCTGCTGATGATGTTCACGAGCAAAACGCTCAGCTGAATGCATATTAATCGCATCTCGGTGCGAGTTCAAACCCGTAATGATGGCAACATTATGGAACTCAGCCCATGTCAGGTCATTTCCAATATCAGACGGTGAGACTATACGTGAGCAGATTAGATCGATGTCATCATCTGTACACACCTTGTATCACAGATTTTCCAACATTGTTCAGAATTGCTGATCATCTGCAGACATACCTCTCTGTCACATATTTCTTCGCAGAATGACAACCGTTGTGAACTGATGCCACAGAGCCTTTCTGACGGCATTTCGCTGGGCAGAAAGAGAGATGCCATCAGACCAAGCACTGACAGAATCAGAATACAAAGCATATTCTGAAGGGGCAGCAGGTCTAAGTTGTGCAAAGTCCTCTACTACGGTGACATTGTGACCTCCAAAGCTCTCATCAGGTTTATTCATTGCCTTCGACAATTGTGCACTGATTTGATATAGTTGAGAACAGGATACCATTGAAATCTCGTCGATGAAAAGGAGATCGATGTCCTTCAGACGACCACGAACCTTCACCAATGCAGTCTGGGATAAGGGATGATCCGCTGAAGATTGCTTGCCAAATCTGAGTAACAAGTGATATGTAGAGCCATTGATTAATGCTGCAGCGAATCCTGTAGGGGCGACGAGTTCGAAATGAAAGCTCTCATCACGACGTTCAAGCAGACATACCAGCACATGAATAACCTGGGATTTTTCCGTGCCGCCCATACCACCAAGATACATTCGTAAACCTTTTCAGTCACAATGTATCACGAAATCACAGACAATCATGAATGCTCACTGCTGTTCATCATTGAGGTCGTATTCAGTAAGCACAGCATGCACAACATATACATAATGTTGCATCCTGAAGCGGAAGTGCGACACCAGTTTCATCTGTACTACTGGCATCAGCAGGCATCTGTAATGCACAGATGAAAGGATCTTAACAGTATCAAGCCATGAAGGATCAGTAAGTGAAAGTGGCCGCGAAGAGGTGAATGGCTCAGAAGAGGGTTTGATACCCATACGTTTGATCACTTCCTGTTCTTTAGATTGCATCAACAGTTCCTTCCGCAGAGTAGGTGGCCTGTGCCGAAGCGGCAAAAAAGATTCATGCATATATTCATCCGGAGAAGGGATGTCATCACCATGTAAAGTGCTAAGGAGATGACACATGCTGTCAATTTCAGAATGCTTACGAGCTGTTTTCTTGCCAACGATGGCATCAGCGTGAATGATCTGTCATATCCAATCATCTTGCGTGCTGTTTTCAAGCAGGCTTTGTTCACCGTTATCTGCATCGATGTGATCCATATCATGTTGATTGATAAATGTAAGCCCTAAGTTTGAGTGAGGATGTTGCCTCCGTTGCGCAGTGAAGTCATCTCTGGAATCGTTGCACTCACACAAAATGTTCATACCTTTCATAATTAGCATATGCTCGACCAAAAATGTGGTATGCCTGAGTGCATCTTTCCATGACTGTCGAGCCAGTTTGAGATCGCAGCCAGTTCTCCATCCACCAGGCTTAAAAAAATCAGCATAGTCCGACAATATAGATCCCTGTCACCCTTTTCAGAATGAGGCAATGCACGACCAACAAAATTGATGGTGTATGACAGCCGCTGTTCCAACTCGACATGGGCATGAGTCGAATGCAAAGGATGTGTGCCAAGAAACCTATGCTCAGTAGTATATATTTTATCACTGGAAGCACTGTTCCTCAAAACACGGGTGTCAGAGTGCACGATAATCATATAAGCACCAAGAAGAAAAATAATCAGGACGGTATAGATAATCGTTGACATGATTTAGCTTGACCACTCACCCATTGACGAGACCCACAACAACACATTCGTTAGCATCGACATTACCATTGTCAACATCATTATGGTTTTCAACATCATCGAAACAAATTGTTCATGCAAAACAGATGATGGCTTATCAGCATGTTGCGTATACAACACATATGATGACCAGAAACATAAATTGAACCGATCACTCTCAAAGTGATCCGGCAATCTGAGCTGATACAGAGCCATCATGGGTCTGCCAGTCTCCATTTTTGCAGTCAAGCTATTCACTGCCCATGTCAGAATTGTTTGAGCCTTGTGAGCATCAGATTGATGCTCAGAGAACATGTCACTAAATGACCAAGCACATTGAGAACTGCCTCAAAAACTGCATGTGCAGATAACGGTGTTTTTGTAATGTAGTCTGAAATATAAGCCACCACAGCACGAGCATGTGTCCCTGACAACATACACGTAACATCAGTGTTGCAACGAAAACAATATGTCAGCACAGGATTGAAAGTGTTAAGGAAAGGTTCCAATTTTTTGAAACGCAACGCACCATTGTTCAAATCAACGATAGTCTCAGGAATAATTTCACGAGGAAAGTGGGCCTGACATTGTTTCATGCTGTTATATATACGCTGACACCCTTTACCACAATGGTGCTGATTAGAGCTGTATAGAATGCTGTCAACGTCTCTCAGAAAGGCAGAATACCATTGATCGATGGAAGAAGTGAAAGAAAGCGGAGGCAGAGGAATGGGTAACATTGTCAGTGGATCGAAAGCATATTCACCTGCTTCAAAATGAGATGCAATCATATCACGATCACCTGTGAAATAGTCACCTGAATGGCAATGTTTCAGTCAAGCAATCAATTCTAATTGAAAGCTGAAATTGGATAGCAGTCGGTCACAGATTTCCTGAGGGCTGAGCGAGTGCGCCACCCAAAGCAAAGCATGTAACAGAAGAGTGAGATGATTCTGAGACTCCACAGTTCTGTAATAGGCAGAATTATGACCAAAAATGCCGTCCTCATCAGTACCGGCACGGACGATGTACTTGAAAAATGCAAGAACCATCACATGAAAGAACCTAGCACACACAACTGGATTTCACACAATGATGCGCAAACACGTCCCATCATCACGCAAACCTGTACTAGCATCTGCAAGGTCAATACATTCACTGCAGTAATACAGGCATAGAGGATGTTTGAAATTCTCGGGTGCAAATGTTACAAAAAACACTGGCATGTCATGTTTTATGATCATCGACCGAATCTCACTACGCTGATATTTGCGAGCCATAGCAGAGCCATCGACGTGACCTGCAACATGATCAACCAAGTTTAACAGTTTGAAACACTCACGTTCTGCATCATCCTGAGGTGCAAGGTATTTACTATCAGAGCCTTCGCCACGATCGACGAGACGCTGCAATGCGACCATATCAACATTAAGCAGTTGCTCGACAACAGATGTCATATTTCTTTTATGCGTTAACAGATAACCACCGAGGCTGGATGACCTTATCTGTTCTTGATTGAATGCGATGAACAGAAAGTATTCATCAGTCTGAAATCTTCGATCAGCATACATCAGTAAATGATGGACCTGCATCCGACGGTCTATGCACGTGTGGATCTTATTGTTACCTATACCACCCAACCCAAATGGAAATAGCCAAGGGAATATCGATGGGTATAAATGCGAATTATTGAATATGGACTCAGGTTCATGGGCATGACCATATGCGACCACACGACCACCATGGTGAAAATGATTCAACGCACGTGCCACACGATCATTATATGTCATGTCTGTGAGATTTGTGCCTGTTAATGCATTTACAGCAAATGAACACATTCCTTTCTCGGTGCTGAGCTCAACATCAGTCTCAGAAACTGACATGCTATGACCCTCTGTAGAACCATCCGTTCAGTGATATATCACTGACATAGGAGGAACACGCTCGAAATATGTAGCGAGGTTGTCCTCAAACACGATCACATCACGGTAATCAGCATGATTCAATCGCAGCCAATGAAGAGCAGCATAGACAGCCATATGGTGCAGCAAAAGTGAAGTGCATTTGAAGTCATCATCAGTAGGTTGACACGGACCAGTAAATAACACTGCAAGACACAAATCAAGGTCGGACTGAGGCGGCGGGAGCACATCAAAAAATGTTCTGACTGGTTGCGCAAAAACGACCGCATTCACCCTCATTTTACATTGACCCTTGTCAACCTTAACAATGAATGCATTGTGACGGCATCTAGCAATTGCAAGTTTCTCAACAAAGGAAAGATTGTGCAACTCCACAGGAACGTCACCCACCTATAAACCGTTCACGAGTGACTCTCAAGGTAAAGTGTGGCAGCTAAGCGTGCTGAGACACAAGTCACAAATGTCGACCACATTCTCGCCTTCATACAAATATACAGCATCAGCATATAGGACCAGTCCTCAAAGCTCAACAGTAGCATCTGTAGCATATTGACGCTCCTCACATGTAATGCCATCACCAGAGTGCACCAAAGGATGAAGATCAATAGACGTCAGAGCGTGATGACTCAAACACAATAACTGCACAAGACGAGCACACACTGCACATGGCCACTCACCAATAACAATGGGAGAGAAACTATCACACCATTGCCTGACAATGTTCCCCATAGCCACATTACTTAACGGAGCAGGGGGGAACTGAGTGGCACTGCAAGACGAGGATAAATGAACGTCAGAAACATCATTCATTGGCATAGAAGAAGACACCGATGACGTCGAAGCGGAGTCCACAACGTGGCAAAATACAGTGACGATCTGCTCACACGACGACGCGCAACATTGATGGATGGTAAGCAACACACTAACATTGAATGTGTTATGATTGCATTCACTGATAACAATACCATAAACAATGGCCACATCAAGCATAGCATCAAGCGGCAAGACAAGCACCAAATACGACAGGGGCACCTCAACTGCAAAATCATCTACACGAAATGCTGTCTGCAAAGCAAGACACCATTTTAACGAGCAAACAAATTAGACAGACTCACAGTCATCACGCGCTGCACCAAACACAATGGGATATGGATGGCATAATGCGTGTGGGATTACCGACGAACAGGAAATGTCTTCGATGGTATGATCTACTGGCAAAGCAACAAATTCACATAATGTAGAAGGACACATATCATCGCAAATATGGTGCTGTGGCGTGCACACAATGGCATCAAGTAATCGTTCTGACTGTCTGAGCCTGATACCATGCAGTCGAAGCAACAGGATCAAAGACCGATAAGGGATCCGACCGGCGAGAAACGATATGGGAAGATCATATTGCAAGCGCCCGTTCATACCAGCGACAGTAAATCCATGAAACAGCAGGAACGAACTGCAATACAGAAGCCGGGAGTCGTTCCTTAATCCCGGTGCCATGAACGAAAGCTCACAGACAGCAAAAACGTTACAGCGATGATCGGCAGCCTCATTGGATGGACGAGGGGTGCAATCAACAAATAAAGACATGCGGGCTATAGAATGGCCCTGCACATAGATAGCAAAGTTATAGGCAGGACTATCGGCCACACAACACAGGACGTGAATAAAGTCGGACGATGACGAATAGAGTGACAGAGAAAAAGAAGCTACAGGGAGCAGAGACCGCCAACATATGCAATCAGCACCACAAGCATGAAACAGGGGCACCGTTGGAGCCATAGGTGTGGGTAAAAAAATGGGTTTCTGACTTATGTAATCACCCGTTCGTCGAAAGCATGTTATAACCTGAATGACAAGTCATTCGGAATAGTCATATCTTTGATAGATACTCAGCACATGATGCAGAGAAGACTTCATGATATGAAATGGATACTGTGCTATCAGCTCTAGATTTCACCATTTATGATATTGAGATGCATGTGAGCGAAGAGGAAGATTGGATCAAAAGCCATTGTCAAGCCATAACTAAGTGCTTGAATAGGTTCAGCTCTGGTCTTATATGTATTCCATGCAGGTCTATTTCAAACCATACAACTTATAAGACACCATATTTGACCAAGATCAACAACATCTCAAACTCAATACTTTGTCATTCTCATCAGATGTCCTGGATGAATGAGTCATCAAATTAGAGAGCACCTTGCATTTGATGGTGACTGTATTAGAGAATTTATGCAGTGCATCTTCCTTGAGTGATGGACTCATAGTAGACAGAGGATTCATAATGCCTTAGATGAGTCATCAATGAAAAGATTACAACAGCTCATACACAAGGCTAGATTTCAGCTGAACATTTGTGTTGACCTGCATCAATTTGGTTAGCAGAAAAATGTCAACAGCAGATGAAGTGACTGTGGCAGACATAGCTGAGATTACTGACAACATAGAGCATTATGTTATAGTTGAACATATCTGGAGTTGCTCATGAGAAAGAAGATTGATGCACACTTGGTAGGTGCTCATATGTAATCGTGGTGCTTCTGACAGTTCTTTGATGCATTTGTATACTTTTCTATCCCATGTTATATATTATAGCATGATGACCTGAAACCCCTGCTGAGAAGCAAAGACAGAGCTTCATTTTGCCTCAAGCCTCTCCTGTAGAGGCTATTTATTGTGATGTACAAACTATACTGCAGGCAGAGATACAAATCAAGGATATCACAATATTGCATGCATTCCATTCGAACATTCACTATCAATTGGTATAGTACTATATTACATTTTTCTGAAATTTTTCTGACATGCAGTCAATATATGATGTCATTGATGCCTAGAAATCATGAGACAAGGCAAACCTACAAGTTCAGACTTTTTATGATAGCTTTCTCTTCAGAAGTTCATTGACATCATCATTGGTGAGAGGTTTTTGCACTGGGTGAAACAATCAATAATTTGAGGTGAAAGATGGTAAAGATATTGAAGAAAAGGTTTAAATCTTTTCAGCATCTTCACTGTCAATTTGTGATAAAAGGACTCAAAATATTATTAACATCTTTTCTTGTCAAAGATGATGAAAAGATTGGAAAAAGATTGGACAACATATTAGCAATCATTTTTTCAACTGTTTTACAATCTTTTAGACAAAGTTGTAATTAAAAGTTTCACAATCTTTTTTCATTTTTTCTTATTAAAGATAATGCACATATTGTGACCATGTCACATCATTATCATTCTATACTAAGCTAATATTAGAATATAAAGGTTAATACTTAGGTTCACATGTCAGTATCATCTCTTGAAGCCTTAGTACTAGCATAGTATTAGCATAGTACTAGCATTTGAACCTTAATACTAGCTTAGTGCTAGCATAGCACTGGCCTTTGAACCTTAGCACTAACCTTCAGAACTTAGTACTAATCTTCAGACCTTAGTACTAGCTTGGTATCTAGCATAGTACTAACATTTGAACTTCAATACCAGCTTAGTACTAGCATACTTAGCACTAACCTTCAAACCTTAATACTAATCTGCAGACCTTAGTACAAGCTTAGTACTAGCATAGTACTAGCCTTCAGACCTTAATACTAGCATATGTAGTACTAGCATTTCAATCTTAGTATTAGCATACTGCTAACATTAGAATCTCAGTATTACTCTTCTGATTATAGTACTAGTATAGTGTGAACATGTGAATCTGAGTATTAACCTTCATATTGTAGTATTAGCTTAGTATATAAAAATAAGGAGGTGATATAGTCACAATATTTTCATTAACTTTGATCAAAAAAAGTGAAAAAAGATTTTAAAACTTTTCATCGTAGTTTTGTATGAAAGATTGTACAATGATTGAAGAAATGATTATTAATATTTCATCCAATCTCCTTTCAATTTTTTCATCATCTTTCACAACAAAAGATGTTAAAAATATTTAAAAATATTTTTATCACAAATTGATAGTAAAGATGCGTACAAAATTTGAACTTTTTGTTTAATATTTTTATCATCTTTCACCTCAAATTATTGATTGCTTCATCTAGTGTCATTGAACGGTAAGTACTAAAGCACATAGAGCACAACACACTTGTGCAATGAAGTGAAAGTAGTGAACAAGCAGATCTGCAGTATAATGATGCCTTCACATATTTGTGATACAATGATGCATTTGCATTTAAAAAAATACTATGATCATCATTATTAGTATAGACAGTGACAGTATAAATCAGCACATATGAAGTACAACAGAATGAGACAAAGTTGCATCTCAAATTTCTCTAAACCCATTTGTCTCTGGCTTTATTCTTCACTCCCATAATCTGTTGGCAAATGTTTCTAAATGAGCATGAGCTCATTGTTAACTCAATGAGCCAAAACTCCATGCACTTCTTGCACACACGCTTGGAGTCAACTTGATTCAGGTGTCACTTAGCTATCTCCATGTTGAAGTTAACAAGACTGGTCAAGACATCTCAAGACTTTTTGTCAAGGTGTTTGCATTACATCTCATCTCAAGAGCTGGAGCACTGACTGTGGCTCTGACACTCTGCACAAGGTCTAACATGTCATGCTGCCTCCTTCAACTTTTCTGCAATGCACCTGAGTTTGAACCTGGTAAGATAGCAATGATAGAAGTCCTCACATGAGATGATGTCATGGTATGCCTCTCACACTGCAAGCCCCTTGTATAGCAGCCTCAGATCACAAAGTACAGTGCATTGGTAGAGAGGAAAGAATTCAGTATGCCTTTAATTCTCTAGCAAGCAAGATCACACTGATGTTGTCACACAGTGTTCAATCAGTGGAGACTTTGATCTCTGAGTTTGTTGAGACATTCCTCTTTAGCTGCTTATAATATTAGAGCTTCTTCAGGAAGCCAAGGACAACATATTTAAATGCCATATTGTAGATGTTGTCAAACCTAAGCTCCTTGATCAAGTGGATGATGTTTGTCAGTTCTTTGAATGACATGTTCTCATGTCCACTCAGCTGCCTGGAGTGAGATAGTTAATATATGACAGAAAATCAGGCTAACACAAGCTTATATGTATCAGGTTTCTCAGTACCAAATCAAGGAAGAATGTCACCTTGAACGAATGATAAGGGGTTAGAAATGAAGTTAATCTTCACATAAAGTTTCTTATCAATTTTATGTGGTTAGCTAAGCCCTTTTACGTGCATTAGAAGAAAGAACAATTTTTTGGACTATAAGCATGATGTTTTGAGGCCACAAAGCCTCAGGAAGGAGACATTTTGATTTTAGATGAGTGAAATTGAGATCAGCTCAAAGTATTGTACAAATAATGCCAAGCTATGACATTTGCTGTCTGTGCAACTAGCTAGTTGCACAAATGACAAAATGTTATAATTTAGTATTATTCGCACATTGTGAC